CTCTTTGTGCTGAGCTAAAGCTACATACAGTAGTTTGGTGGCCACAATTCTACCATTCATGTCTGTAACTGCTTTAGTGGCTTCTTCTGGGGAGGAGAAACACAAAACCAAACCCTTTGCTGTTACCACCCTCCATCATAACCCTTGTAGTAGTGATTGTATCAGATGGAGAATACTTGTTCTGGAGATGTTCATCAATACCATCCCAAAGATTTTTCACGTAAAGGTTAACACCCCAGTATCTGATGATCCTATCTTGCTTCATCAGTTCAAGTTCCTTCTACTGTTCCACATTTTTCTGAGCTTTACCAGCATAATTTGTTTTCCACTGAGCTCACCTGCAGCTTTCTGTGCATCTTCATGCCTTTCAAAGCTTACAAATCCAAACCCTGTGGATTATCAACTTTCATCAGGCACTACTTTCACGCTTAAGGCAGATCCAAATTTGCTGAAGAGATCCTTAAGGCACTCATCATCCATGTCTTCTCCAAAATTCTTGATGGAGATGTTGGTGAACTCTTTTGCCCTAGGTACGAGTTCTGCTTCTCGTTCTTTACAAAACTTAAATCGTCGAGCATATACTTTGCGATCATTTAGATGCATGCCATTCATTTTTTCCATATCTCTTTCTGCTGCTTCCTGTGTATCATAATGTACAAATCCATAACCCTTTCTTGTGGCATCCACGTCAGGTTTTGTTACCAGGAAAACAATGATGTCATAATTTGAGTTTGGAAGACTTCCCTTCTCTTTCATTTTTTGGCAGAGTTTGAGAAGGATACGTATTAATTCTTCAATTTTTGGTAGAATTCACCTGTGAAGCTGTGTGGACCTGGAGATTTGTTTTGGGGGAGATTTTTGGTTACTGATTTAGCCTCTTTACTAATAATTAGGCTTCAGATTTTCCATTTTTTTATGACTCAGTCTTGGTAGATTGTACAATTCTAGGAATCTATCCATTTCTACTAGGTTATCCACCTTTAGACATAATTGTTCATGGTAGTCTCTTATACCCTTTGTATTTCTGTGGTAGTAATTATAACATCTCTTCTTCCATTTCTGATTTTATTTGAATCACCTCTCTCTTTTTTGGGGGGTCTAACCAAAGATTTATTGATTTTGCTTGTCTTTTCAAAGAACCAGTTCTTAGATTCATTTATCTTTTCTATTATCTTTTTAGTCTCTATTTCATTTATGCCTGCTTTGATCTTTGCTATTTCCTCTTTTTCTACTAACTTTGGGGTTTGTTTGTTTTTTTTTCCCTAATTCCTTGAGGTATAGATTTGTATAAAGCCTACATTTCAAATATTTGAGTATCATTAGGTATAAGAGGTCAGACAATTAATTTTGCAAACTCATCCTAGAAAAAGTTGCTGAATATCACAATGGTCACCTTTGACGTACTCCCCTTGGGAAGCTATGCACCAATGCCAGCACCCAGTGCACCCTTCAAAGTAATCTTGGAATTCTTTTTCTGGACAGGCCATCAGAGCTGTCATTGTATTACCCTTGATGTCCTGAATGCCATCAAAATGTCTTCCTTTCGATATTTCCTTTATCTTCCAATAAAAAAAGAAGTCATTGGGGGCCAGATCAGGTGAGTAGGGAGGGTGGGTGTTCCAATACAATTATTTGTTTTTGGCTAAAAACTCCCTCACAGACAGTGCCTTGTGAGCTAGTGCATTGTCATGATGCAAGAGCCATGAATTGTTGGCAAAAAGTTCAGGTCATTTTTGTCTAACATTTTCAGGCAGTCTTTTCAGCACTTCCAAATAGTAAACTTGATTAACTGTTTGTTCAGTTGGTACAAATTCATAATGAATAATCCCTCTGATATCAAAAAAGGATAGCAACATTTTTTTGACTCTTGATTTGGACTGACTGAACATTTTTGGTCGTGGAGAATTGCCTGATACCATTGAGCACTTTGACGCTTTGTTTCAGGGTTGTATTGGTACACCCATGTTTCATCACCAGTGATAACATGGCCCAAAACATCGCCTTGCCTCTCCTAAAGGTCTTGGCAAACGTCGACTCTCCTTTCCTTTTGTTCATTGGTGAGCTCCTTTCTTTGGGCCATTTTTGCACACACCTTTCTCATGCCAAGATTTTCAGTTAAGATTTTCCTGTTTCTGTATCGATGTTTACTTGCTGCTATGCTTCTCACAGTCAGCGACAATTTTGACATGAAATTTGATGAATTTTTGCAATGTTTTTGTCAGTTCTGCTTGTTACTGGCCTCCCTGACCTCTCTTCATCAATGACGCATTCTCTAGCCTCAGAAAAACGTTTAACCCATTTGTACACTGTCGTTTTCTTCGTGGCATTATCTCCATCAGTTTGGACTAACATGTCCCTGATTTCACCTCCACTCTTGCCAAGTTTAACAAGAAATTTAATGTTTGTTTGCTGCTCTAATTCAAGCTCAGACAAAAACACACAACAACAATAATGAACACCACTCAGCAAGACACCACCACACGTCGACACGAACACAGCTCTGAGACACTGATATACCAAGGTTATGAAACCTTACTGAGCTGTTTGTACAGTGCTGCCAATGTAAGCACACGGTGGCAAGTTTGTGAACTTGATTGGCAGAACTTGTATACCCAAAATACTTGAACCCAGGGACGGAAAGAGCTGTTTCTACTTTAGTGTTCATAGCAGCATTATTCATGAGAACCAGAATGTGGAAGCAATAAATCCACGTGTGTTTTAGTGAATGAATGGATCAACAAACTTTAGTATATACATACAATGGAATATTATTCAGATTTAAAAAGAAAGGAAACTGTGACGTATGCTGTAACATGGGTGAACTTTGAGGACATTCATTATGTTAAGTAAAGTAAGCTATTCATAAAGGAGAATTACTGTAGGAATCCCATTTCATGAAGTATCTAAAATAGTGAAATACATAGAGAGAGAAAGAAAGTGGTAGTTGCCAGGGCCTGGGGAAAGATGGAATGGGAAGAGGTAGTTTAACATGTATAGACATGCAGCTTTCAAAGACGAAAACTGTTCTGACATTGAATTCTCAATGTCAATGTACTTCTCATTACTGAACTGTATACTTAAGGTGTAAATGTTATAGTATGTGTATGTTACCACAATTAAGAGTAAAAATGTTAAAGCAAGAGAGTGAAAACACATCCAAAAAAATTAAAGAAATTTTTGCAAATCATATATTTGATAGGGGTTGTATATCAAAAAATATATTAAGAACTCTTGCAACTCAATAATAATAAAAGTCAAATGGCCCAATTTTAAAATGTCAGAGGCTGTGAATAAACATTTTTTCCCAAGGAAGAGGTATGAATGGTAAGAGCACATGAAAAGAATGAAAAGATGCTAGAAGTCACTAGTCATCAAAGAAATCCAAATCAAAACCCCAGTGAGATACCACGTCACAACCACTGGGATGGCTGGAATAAAAAAGTGAGATAATAACTAGTTTTGAAGAGGATATGGAGAAATCATCCACAGCTGGTGGGAATGTAAAATGGTACTTTAGTCACTTAAAAAAACAATCTGGCAGTTCCTTAAAAATTAAACCTAGAACTACCATGGGACCCAGGAATGCACTCTTAGGTATATACTCAAAGAAATGAAAATATATGTTCAATCAAAATCTTGTTCATAAAGGTTTAGTACAACATTATTTAAAACAGCAAGAAAGCGGAAACAAACCAAATATTAATTGACAGAAGAGTAAACACAATGTACTTTATCCATATAATTATTTGGCTGTAAAAAGAAAAAAAGTGTCCATACATGCTACTACATGGATGACCCTCTAAAAAATTATGCTAAGTGCCTGAAGTCAATTCACAGACAACATATCATATAAGTCCATTCATATATAAATCCAGAATAGGGAAATCTATAGACACAGCAAGATTAGAGGTTGCCTAGGACTGTGGCTTGGAGGTGGAAGATGGAAAGATGGAGGAAGTAATAGCTAAAGGGTACAGGGGTTTCTTTTGAGACAATGAAAATTTCAAAAATTGTGATGATGACTGCACATGTGTGAATATACTGAAAACCAATGAATTGTACCCATTAAAGGTATTCATCGTGTGGTATGTGTATTGTATCTCAATAAAGTTATTCAAATAAAAATAAATAAATGCACTAGGAATTTGGAACTAATGTGTTAGTATATTGACTTTTCAGTTACATCCTACATTTTCAAAATCATTGTTACTATTATTATTATTTGGTGAAAATAGGAATTCATTTCCTTTAGGGGTATCATATCCATTTACATTTCAAAAATCTTTAAGGGCACAGTCAAAAACTAAAAGAAATTTCCTTCTAGTGTAAAATGTACACCTGTGAGTTTTGTTGAACACATCTCACAGCTTACTGATTGGGTCGAAGAGTCCTTGCACCAGGATGGCTCTGTGGGATTCAAATTTCTCTGCAGAACCTGGTACTTAGGAGGTCGTGGGACTCTTTAGCTGAAGTACCACATGTATGGAGGTGGAGAAGGGATGGGTGGAAGGCTCAACGCTGTCAACAAGGATCAACATGGAACCAAACTCTTTATTACACATTGTGAGGTCAGTTTTAAATGGGTTTGTAAACAACGTCACAATTCCATGAGTGACCTCACAGCCTGTGCCAAACCAGGACCCGTTAAGGACCGCAGAGCTTCTGGTCCCAGTCTGGCTGGCTTGGGCGTCCCTCTTGCTCTGCACAAGGTCATCGCTCCATCGGAAAACTGACTCTGGAATCCCTTTCGCACACCTGTGTCACCGCGTTCAGAAAGAGGAGCAGGAAGAAGACGCCTGGGTGTCTCGAGGGCTAGGATAAGTCTTAAAAGGAAAAGCCCTTGGAGGAGTCAGGTTCCGCAAAACCGCGGAGACGGGTTCTAGTAAGTCATTTGACCTCTTTCCCCGATTGTCACTCAGCAACAGGGAGGCGGGTCCTTGCGAACTGTCCAATCAGGGGTGAATTAGGGGGTGGGTGGTGTTAGGCTTGGAGAATACCGAGGAAGTTCCGGATTGCGTCTCACCTTCTGTTAGCGGTCCAGGTGTCTTTGCTGTATAGTCAATTCAGCTGTGACCTGCACCGGCTGCGGGAACCGAAGGGACTTCGCCGGAGTACCCCAGAAACCGGACATGGTGAGTGTGTCGGCCTGGGTGTCCCCGGATTGGGACGAGGGGCTTGCTGTAACCGGCCAAGGCTCGAGCCGGCCTACCCGGGATCAAATCTGGAGTCTGAGGACCTGAGCTCCCCCGGGGCTCCGCTCGGACCTCGGTCCCTTCTCGCAACGTGGGGGCTGGGTCAGTAACCAGGACCCCTGGCGTCCTGTCCTGTCACTGTACGCGACGACTTCGGTTCCAGCAAAGGCTGTCCTGTCACTGTACGCGACGACTTCGGTTCCAGCAAAGGAACCTCTCTCTCTGTGTTTTTCTGCGTCTCCCCAGAATGTGCATTGACCACGGCCAGGGAAATCAGGGGACACTCGTGACTCCGACTCCGGGATTCATGCATTGAAAGAGCTGTAATCTGTGTGGTCCCCAGTCTCTCTGTTCTCCCCAACTGGCGCCCATTATCTTTTGAGTTTTTCAAATGTTTGGGAAGCAGGATCTGAAATCCACAACCTTGACCCCCTCCCCATCTTCCTAGGACTCTCAATACGTGTCTTAATTTCCAGATCCCTTCTTGAATTCCCAAACGCCAAAGTCTCCTCTCCCATTCAAGCATTATAATCAACTATTAGTCCTCTGGGTTTCATTTCAAACAGACCCAGTCCTGGTTGCTCCTCTGTTATGAAAAGACTCATGAGGCACAAAGTACTAGACGTTAGAAAGTTGATTTATGAAGAGAAACACAGATAGAGGAGTTGCCAGGGGGAGAGTCTGGGTAGACAGCTACACTGTGTTTCTGTTTAGCTGGGGTTTTATATTGTCTAACCAGGATGTAAATTGCTTCGGCCTGTAGTGGAATCTTCGGTTGTGTTCAGCTTTGTCCGTTGTGGTGGGAGCAGGTGTGGTTACACTTGTTATGGCAACCTTCGTTGTACAATATAAACTTATGTTGGAGCCATCCCCGGAGTCAATTGGCTGCCCCCTGGACTAGTTCCTGTTTACCCAGACCTGTCTTATCAGACTTCATAATAATTATCATTTTTTTCATAATCAATGAAAGCCTCTTTTATCTTTTAAAGGGGTTTGTTTTTGGTTTCTGGATAGTTTACATGAGAGGAAGGGTAAACTAGGATGTATGCAACTGGTTCTTTGAGTTAGCAAGAATTTGGAAAATTTTGATTTTTCTATGGTTTACACTTTTGTATCCGTTACTGTTTAAGGAATTAAATCTTAGGATGGTTTCCAATGTACAAAAGTAAAATTAAAGAAAGACTAGTAGATAGTAAAACATGGTATATATAAATTTCTGTTTTTCTTACATAAATGTGTAAGATAGAAAGGTCTAACTTGAGAAGACTCACTGTCCACCTGTTCTGGATCCTCCGTGGCTATTATTCCAATCATCCCGAAATACACAGTTTTGATGTGGAGAGAAGCAGTTTTGCCACCCTGAAGTTGCCTTTTGGGGATATTGATTTTTAAGCTCTTTATTAAGAAACAAAAGACTTAGAAAAAACCTATGGCCTCCCCCACTTTCCTGCTCAAGGGATTGAGACAGAGAAACCTGCTTTTGGAAGGAAATGTCAGGATGCTGCCTTAGCCTAATTTGAATTAAGTATTGTATCGGGTTGTCGGAAAAGTCATGACGCATTTTTGCAACGAGAAACATAGAAAAAAATACGTCATGACTTTTCCGACAACCCACTATATAGGACTGCAGATGGAGTCTGTTAGCTAGATACCCGGTGTGTCCCATTGTTTGAGTTGCCTAGCAAGTATTTGCCTGTTCTGTGTGTTCAACTCTTCAACTACTTGTAAATCGTCCAGTCTCACTTCTGAAATCTAAGTCCACATTTCTCCCTTTTTCTCCTTCACTCAAAATGTCACATGTTGGGCCGGCCGAGTGGCATGTTGGTTAAGAGTTGGCTTGGGACGCCAGTTCTGAGTGGAAGGGCCCCGGTTTGGATTCCACATGAGGGCCAGTGACGCTGCACCCTCTACAGCTAAGATGGTGAACAACAGCTCAACCTGGAGCTGGGCTTTCATGAGTCGCAGGCGATGGTGTAGGCTGCAGTGGGGCTGCGGTAAGCTACTGTGAGCAGCAGGCAGCCAGCGTAAGCTGCCAAGAGCCCCTGTGAGCAGCAATCCAGTGGTTGGCGACCTATCTGCCTCACCCGGGAAGAGCGCAATGATAATACCAACATGGGACCGTGAAGCGACATCTTCCACAACTAGACTGAAGAACAAAATGACAGTAACTTGTCTGTTCCCCTTCCCCGATTCCCCAGCACTGTTCACCCCCCACACCAATTCCCCAATAAAATCTTAAAAGAAAAAAAATGTCACATGCACTCAATATTGCCTCACTATCTTGGGAATGTTCATACATATGTAAATTTCCTATGTGCATGTGTTAAAAATTTTACTCTCATCTGTTAATTAGATTATTAGCCCAGCTAAAGAATTTAGAAGGTGGAAAGAAAAGTATTGTTTTTTAGCCTCCACGGATGATTTGTTGAACTTCCTGTTAGTGTTTCTTTATATAACAAGACATTGCGAATGCATATTTTTCTTACCCATGTTTTTCCTTGTAACGAGCACTCAACATTGTTTGATATTTGCCGACTTCTTAAGCCTTCTCCTCTCTCTCCCCTTGTGTCCCCACCTGCACAGGCTGAGGACAAAGTCCTGGGCTCCCTCCTCTGGCACCATCACATTCCACCCCATAAGCCCCTGCCTGTGAGCAGGACTCCTGCCCTGGCCCCGCCCTGACAAGGATGCTTTGCTGGAACAGCTTTAGTCAGGCTCCTGAGCCTCCTCCCAGGCCTACCTGTGCACATGCTTGTAAAATCCAGTTTTAGCAGGAACCCTGAAGCCAAGTGAACCAGAACCCAACCCTCCTATCTCATCCTCTTCCATATCTGATCAGGTTCCCTCTCCTGCACCATCAGGCAATGTCTGATCACCCAGGCCTGTCTGCAGTAAGAATCCTTTTAGATCAGGTTTGCAGGAACCCCAACCCCCTGATTTTTCTCTTCCTAATTTGCCATGCACTGACCCCCACCTGCTCTCTGGCCGTGAATTCCCACTTGCCCTTGCTGTACTCAGAGTGGAGCCCAATCTCATTTCTCCCTACTGTGAAATCCTACCATGATGGTCTGTATGTACCTATCGCAGTGGTTCTGATAAAATCCGCCTTACCATCTTTGACAAGTGGCACTGAATATTTTTCTTTAACACCCCCAGTCACAATAAAATCCCAGGCCATTCTTTTTTATTGTAGTTGTTATTTTTTTACTCTTTCAAGCCATTTCAGAGCTGCTTGAGAGGTCCACCCTGACACCCTGCCCCATACCTTCATTCTGTGAGTCATAAGCCTTTTCCTAACCTCTGGGTGTGGGGGCCACCTTGCAGGTGACCATAACAGTTGGTCATGTCCCAACGTGACCACCTCCCATGGGTCTGTCTTCTCTTGCTCTGACTTGCTCACCTGCTCTGCTGCCTGATGGCGGCCTGCATTGTGGGCTGCTGGGTGCTGGGGAGCTGGTGCTGTGAGCTGTGCTGCCCTGTGTGGCAGTGGTGACCCTACCAAACCCCAGTTCTATGTGCAGTTGACCAGAGAGGGCAGATTTTAGAATTTCTAGGCATTTGGAAGCAGGCATATGAGGTGGGCCTTCATTAAATTGGTCCTAGGTTGATATCTTTGCTGGGATTTATCTGTGTGTTAGAGTGAAGCTATGACAGAGGCTGGGTTGGCCTGGACATACCCTGGGGATGGGGGTGGGAGAGTGGGACTACACCCTGTGTGGGAGGTGGACCCATGGGGTGGGAGATGGACCCATGGGGTGGTCACCTGAAATAATAGTTATTCAAAATGGGAAAGTAATTGTAATAACTATGTGCGGGGTCAAATGGGTATTAGACTTATCAAGGTGATCTCTCCTAAGTTATATAAATGTCTAATCACAGTGTTATACAGCTGAAACCAATAAAATATTGTACATCAACTAATTGAGAAATAAAATTATTAAAAGTTAACTAATAAAAAGTAAAATATAGAGAGAAGACAGGGGGAAGGGCATCTAGTAGGTGGCAGGCTGAGTCCTTAATACCAGAGGGCTCCCCAGGACCCTTAATCTCTGCTGCTGCCCCTGCCTCTATTGCAGCACAGATCTTGACCCTCGGGGTTAAGAGACAAAACCCATAGCACCCTGTGGCAAGGACAAGGGATTAGTTCAAACCAGTGGATGTCTGGGGTCCTCAAACTCTATAAAGCAACCAGGTGTCATGGGGAGGCTCTGAACCCTGAGCACTGAAAAACTATATAAATACCAGGCTAGATACAACACCTTCTTTCTCGAAGTGTATTCAGTAACCAAAAACAACAAAACAAGGAATGACAGGCGGGAGGGAACAAAATAAAAAAATAAAAATAAATGAAACAAAGGTCCGCAAGTTGTTCCAAATGAAAATCCAAAATGTATTCAAAGAATTACGCAGCAGAGGGCCGGCCGAGTGGCTCAGTTGGTTAAGAGCTCGCTCAAGAGTTTGAGCTCTGAGCAACAGCGGTTCGAGTCCA